GCACTAAGAGGGTATAGACCAGCGGTTCTCAACCTTTGGGTCGCGACCCCACTTGGGGTCAAACAACCATTTTACAGGGGTCGCCAAACGCGATCCGCCATTTTTTCCTCTCAGGGGCGTCGCCACCGCGCATGTGCACCACGCATGAGGCAGCCTCCGCGCATGCGCGCTGCGCATGGGGCGGCATTGCGCATGCACGCTGTGCATGGGCCAGCATCGCGCATGCATGCCACGCATGGGGCGGCATCTCGCATGCACATTGCGCATGCGTGCTGCGTCCTTATGACCGGGGTCGACGTATAAAAAGGTTGAGAACCATTGGTATAGACTGATACTGAGATTCCATGACACAGCTCACAGTTGACACTATAGAAGCTTCCATTTATATAATGATTGTATACACATACACACACAAACACACACACACATACATTATGCATTAGCTGATTAGCATATTTTTGAGAATGCATAATTCAAAAATGTTATAGCAGGAACATTTGTACATGCATAGTTGTGAGTTTGGAAAATCTGTTACATGTGCCTACAATATAAACATTCTTCCTCTAAATCTACTGAAGACCAATTCTGGGCAGTCCTGTGGTTAAGGCAATTGCAAATGAGAGAAAATTAATTAAAGTTCATCTTTGAGCAGACTTACTCAATATGAAATAGTTATTACTAATACATTATCTTGTTTGCTCAAATTCTTGGCTGCTTATAACATCTGTCAATACAAACCATGAAACATCCATTGTACAAAAAATAAACTGAACAATAATAAAAGGAACCCAAAATATGCAGGGCTGTCACAGAAAATGCAAACTCATGTTTTGAAGTATTTCTGAAAAAAAAATGTTTTTAATTGCTTATGGAAAACCGACAGCATAGGGGCAGATTAAAATCTTGAGGGATGTGGGAGCACTTCCAAAGTACAGAGTCCCCTATGGGAAAACAACATTTGTGTCTTCACCACCCTCATTTCATGAAATGAGGCATTGCTGATAAGAGAAATAGGTGAGATGGGTCATGACCAGTTGGAGGAAGCTGTCCTGCAAGTCTTCAGTGGTAAACCATGTGAAGTTTCAAAGATTAAAATCAGGTGTTTGAATTATACTTGGAAGCAAATAGGAAGCATTTTCTAAATAATGGGAGTACATTTCAGAACCTAACAGTCACACAGGAGAAGACCTTCCTCCATTTGCTACATAGCCTAGCTGCTGGCTGGGGAATTCTAGGAGTTGAAGTCTACACATCCAAACACTGCCAAGTTTGAGAAACTTTGAGCTAGTTGAAAGGACCACTTCTGCTGATCTAAGTAATAGGCAGATTCATTGTGGGAGAGCTAGTCTTTCAAATATGCTAAGCCTTTTAGGTATTTAAAAGTTGAAAACTAACAAGAAAACTTGTAACTTATTGGGCCAACATGTCAGATAAATTTCCTTATCAGATTCCTCAATGCCTTCAACAATGGCAGAATTTCTAACTGTTCATTGGAACAGTTCTTAAAAATGCAAGGAGCTATTTAGAGATGTATCTGTAGTCAAACATCAGGAGTTAACCATAGGAAACATTTTACTGTATAACATTTTGTATTATGTCATAAAATGTTTTATGGTAATCTTTATGTCATAAAATATTTCATAAAATTTTCCATATTTCAATTCCATGGGAGTTCTGGATTTTGGATGCATTCTGTAAGTTAGTTCACTTGAGGTACCTTGATTCAAAAATAGTTGTCCTATGATGCACCATTTTGCCCAGTTAAAGTTTGCGCTACTAATAAAACCATGAGAGTTTTAGTAGTACATATTGATAAGGAGTCCTGATCTGGTTGGCTACACATATATAAGTCTTCATTCATGCTAAATAACATAATGCTAATTCATTTCAATATAGGGAATTGTGTGTTCACAGTGGCACATATCAGCCAGTACCTGGGCCACAGCATTCTGGACCATCTGAACCTTCCAGATACTGCTCAAATGCAACTCCCTTGCAATGGAATGTAGTACTATAGTCACAGGAGGGAGGAGGTCTTTCCCAAGGAGCAAAGCTCAGCATGGAATTTTTGGGAGGCAGGAAGAGAGCCAGGATGAACCCTCCCTAATCTTTCATAGGGTATAACTAATAGTTATGAGGATTTGTGCTTTAGGCTGGTAAGATTCCTATCTATAGGCAAGTAAAAATAAAGAAACTGCTCCAAAGTCATTCCTCTTGTCATTCTTAGTTCCTTGCATCAAACATCCATCTAGAATACATTCCAGTAGCTCAGATATTTGGTGATAAGGGTAACCATTGCAAAAAAAAGATGACCCTGCAAAAATGGCAGTTTGTTTTGCAGGGTACCAGTTTCTTTTTTAAAAACCAATATATATTTAATATAGTTTATGAGACAATTTGATGTAGTGGTTAAAGGAACTATGCTGGAAACTAGGGCACTGTTCTATTTCTGCCTTAGGCATGGCCAGCTTATTCAGTCATTTCTGAAAATGTTGAAAACTGCAGGAATTTATTCAAGAGATAACCAGAAGACAGACTTGAAGTCTCTCTCTCTCTCATTTATCTATCATCCATTTGTAAAAAAATAGGTCTGGCAGAAAGCCTGGCTGAACTCTGGTGCCTATAGATGCATCTTGGGGATTATGATGCTAAGGCATGTAATCATGATCTACAAACTACATTGGTTGGGTTTATATAGTTATATACTGTATGGATACTTTTTCTCTATGTATTTTTCTTCTGCGCCATCCAAAATCTGTCCAAATATAGGTAGGGTAAAACTTTTGTTGATTAATTATAATACATGTTTGTTAATGAATAAATAAGCAACAACAAAGTGTGCTGTTAAATCTTCAGTGGGAATATGCTTGTTTAATATGTTTAAATAATAGGCATATACTCCCATCAAATTCTAAGGCCAGATTTTGAGAAAGGAATCTTTGCCCCTTCCAAAATACATTAGTAAGAGAATTCATTTTTTTCTAGCCACAGCAGCACTAAAATGGGAAAACACATACAGTACAGATAGTCCACAACTTACAACAATTCATTTAGTGATTGTTTGAAATTATACCACTTTAAAAAGTGATTTGACTGTTTTTCATACTTATGACAATTGCTATAGTCCCTATAGTCATGTGATTAAAATTCAGATGCTTGGCAACTGACTCATATTTATGTCAGTTACAGCGTCCCAGGGCCATGTGATCATTTTTGCAACCTTCTGACTAGCAAAGTCAATGGGGAAGTCAGATTCACTTAACAACTATGTTACTAACTTAACAACTAGAGTAATTCATTTAATAACTGTGGTAAGAAAGTTGGGGCAAAACTCACATAACAAATGTTTCACTTAGCAACAGAAATGTTGGGCTCAATTGTGGTTGTAAGTCAAGGACTATCTGTACTTGGTAGAATGATCTATACCTTAAAATGATGCAGAAGCACAAAAATCAATTCCTTATTGTAGACTATTTTTTAAAATTTGCCTACCATTCTATAAAACAGGATTTCAGTTAAATAACATCCCTTTTAAAATCAAATAATTTGTAGTTGTCTAATGCAAGAGTGCTCATCTTGTTGTCTGCACTCATGACAAAACTTCCATCCATGACCAGCATGGCAATAATGTTTACAAATGTTGGGATCATACATCTCAAATATGATAGGCTATGGAAATTTGGCACAGAATAACCTCCGATATCTTGCATTCTTAAGAATCATGCAAATAAAGGAACATATTCTGACAGTACTTATTTTCCATAATACTTTGTCAAAAAAATATACCATCTCAGATTCTATGTTGTCTGACTAATTTGTTATTTTAAATAAATGCTTATTTACTTATCTAGCAATAAAAGTTGAGAAACAGTGACTTAAGTTGTTATTGGATTCAGCCAACAGGAGTTGCTGCCAGAGAAGATGGAGATTTTAGTGGAAGAACTTGAGGGCACAGCCTCCCAAACCCTGCTTATTGTAAAAACATTCAAATATACTTATAAAAACTGATTCACAAAAGGATAAAAATATAGACTGTAACTTAACAGGAGTAGATGAATAAATAGTAAATTTAAAAGATCATCACATTTTACATATTTTTATTAAAAAATAAATAAATTAGAAGTTTAAAAGACACGCAACAATAAAAACAAAGGGTTTTTTTAAAATGAAAAATAAGTTGGTTTCACTGCTAATTCTAAAAGGTCCGCTATAGTTATTAGCTATCTGCACCCATTCAGTTCTACTGCTTCCTCTTCATTTTTCCCACCATTATGAATTGGTTCCATATTTTATTCAATTTTAAAAGGAAGCAAAATAACTTTAGAAGAAAAGCTGTATTATGCTACTGCAGAATAAGGCACAGGCCAAGTAGGTGGCATTTCCTAGGTTGTCTTGGTTGATTTAAAAAGCTAAATAGGAATGGACTGGGTTAGTACTCAGATAGGAGACTACCAGGAAAGTCCAGGACAAGATTAGAAAATTGAAAGAATCACCTAGGAAGAAGGAAATGACAAACCAATTCTATAACATTGTGAAAAAGAATATAGATATCATTATATTATCAGGACCAGAACTGTGCTTAGATTTCTAAAATCCTTTTGAGTTTATGGGTAAGGGTATTGTATGAACACTGCTTTCAGACTTATTCTATGGCATGTTTATTTGAGTAATATGAGAAGAAGAGGGCATCATAATTATTTGTGGCATTAATATTTAATGTTTTGAATTTTTGCTTTTATGATTTTGTAAGCCACAGAATTGCCTGACTATGAGATGGGGCAGCAAATAAATTTAAAAAGAAATCAGTACTTCCTTTATGTAGCCATACATGAAATGCTCTCAAATGAATGAAAGCACATTCCAGCTTATTCATCTGCCAGTGAACTGTGGATTTGGGGGCTATAAACATAGGAGACTTTCTTCTATGTGGAGAGATAATATGGTTACAACTTATCTTTTCTAATCCTAAGTTTAGAATGATTTAATTGAAAATCAGGCCATTTTTTTTTCAAAATTAAATATTTATTTAGATTTTATTATAGCAAGTCTACACAATTCTACATCTAGACAAATCCTAATGGAAATGAGCTTCATAATTCTCCTCTTTATCCATCTTTAGCCATTTCATAATGCCTTAATGACTATGTTCACATTTCCTTTTTGTTTAGAACAGTCTATAAGAAATATAAATATTCAGCACCATATAGCTGGAAGACACATTTCACTGGATATCGTCGTCGTCAAACATATCTTCAAAATCTAAAAGGATAATAAATGAATATCACACAAAGATAAATACAACTTCATTGTTTTGATTTTAAAAAAACATACATAACTGAATAGGTCAATTTAGTTTATGGATCTGAATTACAAAAAGCAGACTTACTACAATCTGCCCCAAAAAGGAGCATTTATTGTCTGGATTTTTGTCACCCAGATTTAGTACGTACAGTTTAGTAACAATATAAAACTTATGTAGTTGCATTTGTGATCTGTGCTCAAGAATCACAACTAAAATTTAAGAGAAAATTTTTACAAAATGTTTTATAGATGGCATCTGGATCCTAAAAAGTTGTCTTGTATGTATCCTAACTTACAGCCCAAATGTTGGAGATGTGGTAGTTTGGAGGCTACTTATTTTCATATCTGGTGGACTTGTAAAAATATAAAAGCTTTTTGGATTAAGATTTGGTGGAACATTCAAAAGATTTTTAAGAGAAAGATAAAGTTTACTCCACAATTATTTTTACTGGGTGTTATTATAGATTGTAATACTAAAGAAACTAATTTGATGTTGAATTTGATAACAGCAGCAAGGTTATTGGTAGGGCAATATTGGAAGAAGGATTGCTTGCCTACTATAGAAGAATGGACGCTTAAAGTGTCAAACTTAGCAGAAATGGCTAAGATTTCTGCTTATTTGAAGGATCATTCACAAGGAAGATACATTTCGGTTTGGAGAAGGTGGATAGATTATATTCAGAATATGGGACTAAAAAGTTCCACTTAGTTTATGAATAAATTTTAGAGTATTATTAATAGTTTATTATAGTGGAATATTATTATTTTTCGTATTAGTATTGTTTAACAATTTGGATATTGTATTGTTTAATAATTAGTTTAACAATTAGGATATTATGTTTATGTTATTATTATTATGTTTACTTTTAATTTGTTTATATTTATGCTAAAGAGGAGTTAAAGCGCCTTAATGGACTTGGTTATTGATATAGTTGGTTAATGTTAGTTAGATTATGATTATTATAATTGTAACCCTGTATTCAGCTCTGGGAAGTGGGGGAGGGAGAGGGGGTGGGTTTAAGGTGGGTTAGTTTTGGGGTTTATATTGTAACTTTTGTAAAACTCTTCAATAAAAAAAGAACATTTATAGACAACCTTAAAAATAAAGAGAGTAAAATAGGATGGCAATTTATGTTATTTTCCATTAAAAAAAAATTTTAAGAAGAAGAATCACAACTAAATCTTACATAATGACCTTCCCAACTTCATCTTACATAATTCCCTCATTCTGGAATAAAAAATCTTGAAATCCATTCAGTAAATTCACAAGAAATTCAACTGAAAATGAAAAGATCATTCTGTAATGTAAAGCTGGGATTCTCAAGCATAGATTACACAATGCAACTCCATGAGTTATTTTAACATGCTAAAGGATTTTTAAAAGCTTCTCCCCCTCCTATTTTATAGCAGGGTTGGACAAACTTTTGCTACGCATAGATCAAAGGCCATCGTTTGTCCATTTTACAGAATCAGAATATTGAGTACAGAATGCTATGGTAGTCTGACATAAGCTATCAGTTCACTTTATTCATTCAGCATGTAATGCTTTTCTTATTTTCAGTTTGTTGTTTTTCTATGTTATTGGAAATCACTTCTGTTTCTACTTTATGGCATGCTATTATTTGGACACTGATTATACCTGTCCCTCAACAGTGGCACAATGCCAGAATTGAACTATTTGGATCTTGAGCTATATTGAGCTATAGCACAAATTGAAGGATACACGTGTACTCTGTGTACACTGCTGGTACGAAACAGAGGGATTTCCCAAGATTTTCTGCTTAATAGATAATGCATTTGATGATAAATCTTTAAAAGGTATGTATCCAATAAATAACCCCTGATCAATAATAGTCCTAGTGATTGGACATCATTTGCTTGATACTGTTACAGGCTTAACATTTCCTCAGATATGAAGTTATTCTGATATGTTTTTACCTTCAGCTCCATTTCTAGTAAAGCCATTAAGAAATAACATTTTAAAATACAGTCAGCAATGACTAAAATAAACATGCCTGATTTAAAATAAAATTGAACACTTACTATTAAAGAAATCTGCATGTACTGCCTTTTCATTAGCTGCTAGATCCATCAATAAACCTGTACTTCCTCCAGCCTAAAAAAAATTGTTAAATAATTATTCATATAATTATTTAACTTTAAAGAATTTTAGTTTAGTTTCTAGTTTCTCACCTAAATATAACACAATTTAGACAGAATTACCCCGATAATTGCTTATTACTATTATTGAATTAAGATATAAGGACTAACATTATAATGGTCTCCAACATTCGTGTAGCATTTCTTTCTCTTCCAATGTGTAGCATTTTTTTATCCTCTCAAACATCTCATTCCTCTAAAAAGCAGAGGCATCGTGGCAGAATGACAGATAAACATAAACAGATGAAAAACGACTCCCCAAATAATCTTGCCCCTTCGGTCACAAAAAAAAAAAACAACCTTTCTCGCTCAACCAGTTCTTTAAAACTTAAAATCCACTCTTGTGAAGCACCCAGTCTGCCCACCCTCCCTCGTTCAACCTCACCAACCAGACACCAGAAGTGGAAGATAGGAAAGGGCAAAACCAGGCTGCCTTAATTTACCGACAATATATTCACAAGGGAACACGGGTCAGAACATACAGCGCCGCCCACTGCCATCCAAGGACGTCGCGCAACCTCATTTCCGACGACTGGAGACAAAATATCCCTAACTGTCGGAATGCCTGTCTTCCTCCTGCCGCCGCTGCCGCCTCACCTCGTCAAGGTCGACATAGGGCCCCGCACCCTCGGGAAACATCTCATCCACCGCCGGCTTCATAGCTACCCTAGTTCCTTATAGCCCACCTACATCCGGCTCCGGAAGGAATCTACTTCCGGCTGCTCTAGGAGCGCGGGAGGAGGCGATCTCTGTGGTGCTCTCAAGTTCTGGGGCACCGAGGGAAGGACTGTGAAAACCTATCGGCTTTGGGAGTAAAGATCTTGGGCCTTTCTTTCGAGTAAACGAGCCAAGATGCTGCTGCTTGGTGGGGCTTTTTTGGGTGCCACAAAAGCTTAGCAGCATTGAATGATTGCATTCGCACAACCAGCATAATTCGGCCACTTGCATATTTAAGGTGTACCTTTAGCGTTTCCTTGCCCCGTTCTTGGATGGCTTATTTAACTCTTACAGGAAACACATCTTGATAGTGGAGCATAAAAACACTCTCTTGTTTCCAGCATGCTGCCCAGATAGGCTGAAGTTGATCGCGGATATTTTCCACTCAGCCCTGTAGCTACAAATTCAGGAGTGAGCCTGTTTTCATGAAATTTCTCTTCGCTTTTCTGTGCCAACTAGAACAATAATTTTGAAAATTAAGAGAACTAAGTCTAATATAAAACAAATTCACAGAAAATCATGCATATCTTGGGCTTAGATGGTTATAATCCTATCTCAATGTATATTAGATTATTTGGTCCCCCCCCAACCCCCAGGAATAACAGAAATTGCACCTAGAAAAGATGACCAAAGGACCTGTTGCCAGAAGTCAAGACTGATTTGAAGGCACAAAAAGCAAAACAAATTTTACAGTTGGATCCAGGGTATATACAGGTAGTCTTTGGTTAATGACTGGTTGTTTAGTGCCTGTTCAAAGTTATGATCCCCCCCATGTACTTACAACCCTATTTTGAAGTTCCAGTATCTATACACACACACACACCCATTACATGATCATATTTTTGGCACTTAGCAACTGCTTCACACTTATAGCCCATCATTTTTGCTGATTTCTGGTGGTTTCTGCCAATGGATATAATGGATTGTAGTGATTTGCATAACAACCACTGCAAAAAAGGTCATAAATTCAGGTTTAATGACCCCCCATCATAATATACAACCACAATTCTGGGCTTAATTATGGTTGTAAGTGGATAACTACGGTACCTGTACTCCAACCATAAGCTGTATATGTAAAGCCTGACTAAAGAAAAACCAAAAGTACATAATTCAGCAGTTAATTTTTTTATATTTCTTGATCACAGTTAAGTTTAGGTCGAAGTAGTAATAGTTAAATAAACTCTGTATTAAAATGTACAAAGCTAGTAACAACCAGTGTTCCAGTAGTTCACTATACTCTTAGTGTACGTAATTTAAACTGAAAGTCAGGTTATACATTTCAAAAATCCTGGCTATATAGTTTGATGTGGTTATAGATTTGGTTGTCCAACTATTCAGTTTTTCACTGGGTGGTGTAACTCCAGGGCCGCAGGTCTGATTTCTGCCAATCTTAATGTACAATATTAAATTTTGTGCTAATAGAGATTAGCAGAAACTGGGCCTTGGACCTGCATCTTTCAGTGAAAAATTGAATAGGCCTTCATGCTCGTCACTTTCATTTTTGTGTTTCACAAAAGACATAGTTTAGTAATACATGTTAAAATAATTTTAAAAGATTATTTAGAACTGAACATATGCTTCCCCTAAAACATTTATCTGTGATTCCTGACCCAGTTTCATACAGTGAGCATTTCACAGCTTAAGTTCCAGCCTAATTAACTTTTTTACTACTCAGATTATCCAGCTTGATAGAAAACATCTGGATTTAGAAGACATGCTGATCCACACGGGAACTAAATTAGTTTTTTTTTTAAGTTTCTTATCTAGTTCTAATGAAATACCATATCTAGGACAAATTCTTTGCACTGTAGGACATAGGAGCTGCTTAAATGTCAAGATATATAACTTCATCCAGTTATTTGACATCTAGGAGCAGTACTGAGCTTGACATAAAAAGCCAAATTCAAAAGTCACATTCAAGTATATGTGTAATACAGTGGTTCCCAACCAGGGGTGCTCGCACCCCCTGGGGGTGCGAGACGATATTCCAGGGGGTGCGAAAACTTGTTTTTTCAAAATTATAGTATATATGCATAATTCGTTGCTGTTATTTCGAACTTTTGTAAGGGGTGTGAGAATATATCAGAAGCATTCTAGAGGTGCGGGGTATAGAAAAGGTTGGGAACCACTGGTGTAATATATATTACTTATATACACTTAAGTTGCTACATTTTAAAGAAGCTACTCTGAATTGGTGAAGTAATTTTCAACTAATTTTAAACAAGCTTTTTGGACCATCAATGATATTTCCTTGAGAACATTTTGCTCAGTCTTTATTATGTGCACTAATTTATTTATTACTAATTATGGATAATTTTTACTGAAATCCAAAAGCATTAATATTTTGATCATCTACTTGAAGCCTTGATAATATATAAGTCATTATTTCCTAAACAGCCAAACGCCAATAAACTTTTCAGTTTCTAATGATGGTTGTCTCATAACAAATATTTTAAACTGTCTGCAAGTGCCCCCTACTGTACAGTTTATGAAAATAGTGACTACAAACAGAATATTTCTAGAGTTTAGGTGCTTTTGTTTATTGTTAAATAATAAAACTATATTTTATTGCATCATCTTAAGAATATTGTATGAACTTTCTCCTTATATCCCCCCCCAGCCCCCTCAAAAGATAGCCCTTTTTGCTTATACCAGTTCATTAATGTTGCTTTGGAAGTTGACAGTGGGAACACTATTGATTGCTAAAAAGTCTATCCATCTCATTTGTTATTCTTCAGGATTCGACATATCTCAGCAGATTAAAATGATGTAGATATTTTTTTGAATTTGAACTCTTTTGCCTGCACTGTTGGTCTTTTTGTGCAATAAATCTTAACACATTGTGATAACCCTTTTTGCAAATCATATCTTTCTTTTTATTTATCATGAAGCAATCAACCAAAAGTATTTTTAAATTTCTAACTACTTTTGAAGTAACTAAGTGTTTAATTTTTAAAAATTATGATTGTTGATTTCAATTTAAAAGTGATCTTCAGAGCTGGCTCAAAAGCTTTTAGGACATTTTAGAAAGGAAAGAAAAATTGCAAATTGTCCCTTCAGTTAATTAATTTTTTTTTTTACAAATAACAAAGAATGGAATTTGTGATCACATTACACCACAATTTTCAGTTAAAATTGTTTTGTACTATGCTATTTTGAATTTAAGTCACTTGATGCACCTTTTTTCTTCTACTTCTGTACTTACAATGGATAAAGTACTTACAGCATGAACAAGAGAAATGAGCACTATCATAGTAATATTTGATTCTTGGCTTACTGACTTATAAAAATAAGTAGGGAGATTGACAAGGGGTTGGCTGTGTAAAAATAGAGATGTGTAAATGTCTTTTGAATATAATTCCATTAGACCAGGGTGTCAAACTGCCGGCCCGTGGGCTGGATGCGTCATGCTGAAACTGCCCAACCAGCTTCGGTAATAGGGAAAAAGTTGTGATATGTCGCGACACATCATGTGATGTGGCAATTTTGACACTCCTGCATTAGACCATAGCCACCATTTTCTTAGCACTAATGTCAGTTGACTTCATATGATGATCTTTTGTCATTTCCATTCTCGTTTAATATTTGGGGAGCCTTTGCACTTTCATTTTTAGGGCTGAACCATTCTCCTTTGGAGAGCTTGATACTTGCTTTCAGAGAACTATTTTGGATTTAACTGAGTGGTTCAGTCACAAGAATTGGTTTGGGTTGATGTCTATTCCTTCTTCAGTTTTCTGCTTTTCTATTATTGGCAAGACAGGTAAGATTGCAGATTGTTGTTTTAGCTTAACAAAGCATTACAGCAATCTTCCTCTAATATTTATCAAAATAAGGGTGGAGAAACTTTTAGACTCTTAAGAGTTGTATTCATGGTTAGCATATTTTGGCCAGAGCTTCTGTGAGGAGGTGGGGGTGAATCCATTCCTTTTGTCTTTTGCCTCTAAGATTAAGAGGAAATTTGTCATTCCATTTATAGAAACTGTCTTGAGTGGCAAATGAAATTTCTTGCAGGATCCAATCTGAATCAGTCACCAAGACCAAAGGTTTATTGTTCCAAGTTTTTGGCTCATGCTGAAGCCCATCATCAAGAAACTTCTTTTTCTCCAGAATATGTGCACTGCCTTGTATTTATATAGTATTTGTTTCAGCCCTCCAACAGAAGCAATAAACCATGTAGTATCTGCTGCTGTAAGGACCCACCCCACTTTGCATCTTAAGAAGACAGAACTCTTGGAATAATTCTTTCAACAGGAATCCTTTATTAAGAGAAAATGGTTGCAGGTGTTCTAGACAGGACTTGAGGTCCAAGCTCTCCCATTCAAGGTTTTAAGGGGTTCCACAGTAATCCCACCCAATCACCCCCCTCTTCCAGCGACAGTTTCAGGCATCATAATCCCACCCCCTTTTCCTTTCTGCCGGCTGGATGGAGACTTCAGAGAAAACTACATGAAAGGTAATAGCCTCCTTTGTTATGATAAGGCCTTTTGGTGCTATCCACATTCAATCCCTTTGAAGTTGTACCGAAGGAAGTGAGGGCCATAAAGCCCCTTTGTTCACCCCCTTCCCTTTCTTGTATGACAGAATCCAGAGAGGGCAGAAATGGGGTTTTCTATAATTGATAACTGGAGATGAAGTATAATTGGATTCTGACAGCTGCTTAATGTAATGGCCTCACTTTGCTTAAAATTTTATCGTTTCAGCTTCTCCTATTTCTTTTCTTCTTCAAAGGCTATTAATTGAATGATAAAACATTCTTTTAAAATGTTTTTAAATGTCCAGCTTTTAAAATTAGACCACCGGCTCCTCTTTTTATGCTAGAGAAATGTATGTATTCTTTCCTGCTGAGACTCTTCTACATTACCAATCAAGACTCATACCTGCATGAGTTTATATTAGCTCTAAGTCTTGCCCTAAATACCTCCAGGAAAGTAGAGCTACCATATCTGAGCTGCAAAAATTCAGTGAGCTCTAAATGTTAGCAACAAATAGGGAC